TTATACAATGTTTTAATACATATATATCATGGCAGAAGTTGTTAACAAGGGTGAGCAGTGGTCAGCAGGGGTTAACAGGGGTCAGTAGGGGACAGCAGAGGCAAGCAGAGACCAGCAGGGGCAAGCAGTGGCAAGTTGTAATCGTCACACGTTGTTGGAAGCATTGGTGGTGGTCAGCAGTGGTCAGCAGGGGTCAGCAGTGGTCAGCAGGGGTTAACAGGGGTCAGTAGGGGACAGCAGAGGCAAGCAGAGACCAGCAGGGGCAAGCAGTGGCAAGTTGTAATCAGTCACACGTTGTCGGAAGCATCAGGGGTGGTCAGCAGTGGTCAGTAGTGGTCAGCAGAGGCAGGCAGAAGCCCGCACATGTTGGCAGAGGCCAGCAGAAGCCAGCAGTAATGGTTACACGTTGCCAGATGTATCAGAAGTGATATCTGAAATGATATATGTCCGCTCATATATACGAATAATAAAAATGAATTTATTCTTTTTTCAATAATTAACAATTGATGCCCGACTTTGGTCGGTACAGATTCAGTTTGTTGATAAAGAAGGGTTCCTCCAATTTCATTTCTTACCTTTTTAAGCGCTAAGATCGTTTTCTATAGGTCGTTGGTAAGGTTGCGAGTGATACCGGCATGGCAATGGGGTTCTAAAACCCCATGGACCTAAAAAATGCGATAGATGGCGCGTCTAGGCACTTATCTCACAGACGTGGTATACGAGTGGCTTTATATTAGAATTCCCCCTCGGTCGGCTAATTAAAAATTATTTAATTTACCTTTACGCACTTTATTTATTCCGACGATCGATATATTACAATTAGTCCTTGAAAGTAGATGGTCAAAGGCAATGCACGGTCTCAATTATGCATAAAAGAATCCAATAACTGGCTGCAAATCGCGCGTTTTCCACGGGGCGTTCTACATACTAAGTATAAATAAGATCGTCCTTGTAATGCAGTCGAACAACGATCTATTATAAGATTACGCCTTTCCATTATCTTTAATTTAATATTGAATTGAATTCAATCTCCCACGCGATCTTCCAAGGGACGGTAATAAATAAATCCTTGACCAGTTTCGTTACATTATGTTTCATATGCTTTTTAATAATTATTCATAAACGTGTCACAATGTTCCAAACTTGTAGCGAGGTTCTCCTGAAAATTTTTAAATAGAACCAATAGAGGATCAAAAATCGTTACGCGATCGAGAAGATCGTGATTCCTCATGCAAAATCTGCAATAATATTTCCCCATACTTGTTTTCTATTGTAAATATTAGCTGTTATATGGTAGTCTTTCAGATTGTCATAATTTATGGCTGCCACGTTTTCACAATTTCTATCTTAGGTTGTCGAAATTTCAGACAGTAGTATAGTTAAAAGATGGTGAGATCAACAAGCAACGTACAAAAGCTTCGTAGGAGAAAAGATCAATTGCAACATCGTTCGATGAATTTTGCACGAGGAATCGCCATCGTTTCGTTCGTTTCACGATTTTCGACGCGTCCCCGGTACCATCGTCAGCCTTTTTAAAATCAATTTTCAAGCCACTCTTTTTTTTTTATTATTCGTTTCTTTTTTTTTACACTGGCGTGCGATTCACCGCGTCGATTAATCGAAATTATCCTTCGTGCCGCGCGAACGGGATCGAGTGTCGCCCCCGTCGGCTCGCGTATTATTAAACTTAATTCTAAAAAAACCCATTGACAAATCGTGTCCGTTCGCACCACACCGAATTCCTTATTCGCGTCTCATTAATAACATCGTAATAATTGTAATATTTCTAGGTAAGGATTCTCTTAAGCGCATGTACAGAGATAAAACTTTCCTCTACGTTTTGAGCATACCGCGCGGCTTTATTTCTTAGTCCTTATTTAATTATTTATTAATTATCCCCCTTGGGCTCGCTTCTGTTTTTTTTTTTTTTTGTGCAGACTGCACTCCCTTCGTAGGCATAATTATTCTAAACCACGTTTAAACGCCTATGGATCGATTCAACGGCTAGAGCACGAGGGTGCTGAACAGTGGTTCGAATGATAAATACCAGAATTGTTTAGAAACGTTCGATACGATCGTGGTCGCCGCGACGAAATTAGGATTAGGAAATTAGGAAGAATTTCGAGAGATTTCAAAACTCATCAACCATTAATTAATGTCTTCTTTAGGGGATTCGTTCCAACGAACATGATCGAACCAACACACTCTTCGGAGAGGCTTGGCAATTATCATTCGACGTACCGTTTCGTTAAATTTCGCTTTCTGATTGCGGCCTCTTTGCCTGTATATGCGTGTAAGGTGTATGTATTTTATGCACACACGTACACGCGTGTGTGTACACACAGGGTGGATCACCTCTAGATGCTCATTAAATTAGAAAGTATTTTAATTCTGTTAGGAAACCACGACTTTGTTGCAATGATTTTATTTACAGAAAAGGTTCGATATACGTCACATTTTCTAAATCAATAGATAATGATTGAAATATGTGGTGATCCAGCCGGTGTACGCACACGTGTATACCCATGCACGTGATCAACGAGTGTGTGTGTGTGTATGTGTTGTACATACAGAGATATATACAATGGTAAATAATGATCGAAATACGCTTCTCACTCTCGGATCGTAACGATCTAGTCGTCATTGTGCGTCTTTTCGAGTGACGATGATTTGGGTTTTGTCGATAGATCGCGTGAACTCAGATTTACGGGGTTTACGAGCGTTTCTTTTTGGTCTTGTGTTTCCTCGTTCGTTTTCGAGAGACGGAGAGGGATAATAGAGAAAATAGAGTCCTGGTGAAAGGATACGAGGGACAGGTGTAAAAACAAGGAAAAGCATCTTCTCGTCTCATCGACTGTGTCACGATTAACGATCATTCTCTTTTAACGAAGGACGCGCGAGGAACAGAGACGGACACGCGCGGAAGATATATTCGTCGTTGGAAGATTCTTTACATCTCGTTAAATTCCACGTATTTTTTTCTGTCGTATTCCGTAATAAGCTTACAAGTATCATATACATATACATATCGTGTGTTTATATAAATGTACACAAAGGTTTACCCGGTTTTGTTGGACTCGCTGGCTTATTCTTAATTAACGTTCGCCCGACGTTCAGAAAACTAATCGAACGTATCGAGTAAAAAATAATTCCAGCTAAGTCGGTCGCGAGGATACGAAGTCGACGTTTCACAGTTAACACCGATCACAGTATTTATTAATTACGCGAGTTCCGTTACGCGGCCGAGAAACGATCCGAACGAACGATACAAAATCAACCCCTCCGCGTACACGAGCGTACGTGACCGTACATTTGCAGAGAAATAGGAACAGAGACGAATATGGGGACAGACTACTTTGGTTGCCCGTGTAACCTAATTCAATTCCTTTGTATTTAGTTCATTAATGAATCCTCTTAGCATTAGAATTTATCAACACTTTGGCGATTATCCGTTAGTCGAACGTGCTCGAACGTCTTGCGGTTCTCGTTTTATTCAACACACCTTTACACCCCTCGTGCATACGCGAGGATTGTGTTAAATCTTCTTTTTATTTATATATTTATATATTTATATATATAATTTATAGAATTCATATTTATATAACATATCACCTAAGCAAACGCCTATTTATATATTTATACGTAATGCATATAGATATATGTATATATTCTGTCCGTGTATACATATATATATATATCTATACATACGCGCTCGCCTCTATATTTATACGTGTATGTATATTCGTGTCCTCAATGTATGCGTATGTATAATATGTATATCAATACGATGCGCTTTACAATAATTCTTCTCTCTCTCGGCTGAAACGAAAATCCCTTAAAATTTAACAACCGTTTCTATCGCGCTCTGATTCTACCTGTCGCTAGCGGCGCCATTCGAGCATCGAATTGTGTATTCTCGCGTGCAACAGAAAATAGTACAACCAGCTAGGATAAACGGAGAATCTAGACAAAACATTCTACGTCTCGCAGGATCGATTTCAAGCTTAAAAACGGGTAAAAGAACGGGCTCGTTGCTGGTTTTATAGCCAAAGTTATAGCCACTTTCACGTTCCGTTCGTCGACCTAGCTTTTCACTTTGTCAACTTTTATTTACTCGCGAGACAAGCTACAAGAAATCAACGTTTTACAGATACTTGTCGCTTATTATCCTCCATAGATATTCAGGGGTGGAGATTTTATGAAAAACTGATCCTTGGAAGAGTTTATTTGAGAGAAATTTAGATAGAGTGTTCTGAAAATTAGTTTACAGAATGTAACGATGGAGAAATGTTTAAATAAAGCGAGAATATCTGGTCCAAGCACGTAGATGCACAGTATCGAGAGGTGGTCGCGTCCTGGATCTTCGGTATCAACTCGAAATTGGCTGCGAGCCGGTAAATTAGACGACGATTGGCAATTTCCACGATAAGCCTCGCTATTTCCTGCACCTTGCTCGCCTTCGTTCGTCAAGCAGAGCTTCCCCGTAATTGACAGCAATTAGCCGCGAATGAAGACGCGTTAAATTTTGACACCGTTATCATCAACACGCGAGAGAAACGAGCAACAAAAATAAAAACAGATTTCACGATTTCCTTCTTCCTGTAAACTGCAAAAAATTGTTTTTTCTTTGCAATAGCGTATCATCGAACTGGTAAAATTAAATTACGATTTCCTTCTTCCTGTAAACTGCAAAAAATTTTTTTTTCTTTGCAAAAGCGTATCATCGAGTTCGTAAAATTAAATTACGATTTCCTTCTTACTGTAAACTGCAAAAAATTGTTTTTTTCTTTGCAAAAGCGTATCATCGAACTCGTAAAATTAAATTACGATTTCCATCTTACTGTAAACTGCAAAAAATTTTTTTTTCTTTGCAAAAGCGTATCATCGAGCTCGTAAAATTAAACCTCGGAATTTTTTAACGTAAATCAATTTAGTGAATCTGATATTCGTTACCGGTGAATGAAATTTGCCCAATTCTGGTTTCGATCAGTGGGCCAGTCGACCGGAAATACGCCCCGTCCGTATTGGTGCGGACGTTCGAGTCCATTCGTTAGTCATAGTCGAATTATGGCAAAGTTAAATCGGATCGAACGGGTTGCCGTTTTGCGTCGCGTTTTCTCGACCAAATGATTCGACTATCGGGCCATCCCAAACCACGTCGAACACTTTTCGTACGTTGGATGCGATTCGCAACGGTCCAGCGGCGACGCGTTCGCGAAATCGAAGAGCATCGGTGAGAATAAAAGGACCAGATCGCTCTTGCTTTCTCATCAAGCTGGAAATTGATTTCGAGCTCCGTTCGTTTACCGTTTCGAATCAACTGGAGCGCACTGATCAACAGTGTTTAACGTTTTCATTTTTTCCTACGCGCGAAATCTCCAAGTATCGTCTTGTAAATTCTTGCAATCGTAATGCAATTTGCTTTGGAGAATTTTTAAACAAATTTCCTATCGTGTTCGGTTGAAATTCAATTTTAAGAAGAAAATTGTGCACCACTGCTCTGTGACTTTTGTTTCGAAATGTCATTTTCTCGTTTTGGATTCGTTCTGGCGAAAGAATCGTTCATGGTGGATTGCTCGTGGCGATATCAATGTATTAACTTACGATTCGAAGCACGCATCGGCACGGAAAGTAAAAAAAAAAGCCAGAAAAGTGGTAAAAAAATAACTCTACGCGATTTGTTTCACGTATTTTTTGCTTGCAACCGTCTGTAAAAAAACTGATACGTATTAGAGGCTTCTGCGCGACGATAGAGCTCGAAAATACCGATTCTAATGATTATGATTTAGAGGGAATGCAGTTAATAGCTTCTTTTAAATATTTAAAGTTTTTAGCTGCACGTTTCGAGTACGATTCTGGATTTTAACTGACATATGCTTGGTCCTTTTCCTGTTGCAACCACTATCGCTGTGCAGATTCGTTTCAAACAGTCTGTGATCGTTACCTAGTTCGTATATGTTTCATTTGCAGTCCGTTTAAACACCTAAGTATGTGCGTTAATTGCGTCAAATGAAGATAGGTATTGAACTCGTATCAGTTTAGTTAACGAATGTTCGATTTAATAAAATTCTTTTACGAGTGAACGAAAGATCGCAAGAAAAATGATCTCTTAACGAGAAGCTTGTCTCAATAAATTTCTGACATATTTAAAAAATGTTCTGTTTATTCTGGACTATGATTAACTGGACTATGCGAGTATCGATGGATCTATCGGGAAGATCGATCAGCCCGAATGGCGTCGCTTTCGGCGGAACATTAATCTCAGGGGGTTTCGCGTTCGGCATTAATAATCGATTCTTATTATAGAAGTTATTTACACGATACACGCTTCGATCTGTCCGTCCTCGATCGATCGAGAGTCCCGTATCGAACGGATCAAGTTTCATTCGCGTTCCCCGCTTCTCTGCTTCTTTGAAACACAGACAAGAAAATCTAGCCGTCCTATCGGAAAGAGTATAATCGAGGAAGTCGTTGTGGCGAATTTCACTTATTCCATACTTCGAATAAGAAATTTCGCGCGTCGATTAATTCTGCAACAATTGTTACAGCCGAAGAACGAAGGATCGGTTGGCCAATCCTCGAGTAGTGTCGGTGTCGACTAGAAAGCAATCGATAAGCGTTAAAAGTTTCCGAAAGATGTCGAGAAACGTTTTCGAAATGTTTTCAAAAGCTTAATGTTAGTTTCACGCGTGTCGTTCGATGCAAGAACAAATTATTCGCTGGAACGTTTTACGAAATGAAGTTTCTTCGATCCGTTCAACAATTTTCTAAACGCTTTGTGATTTCGAAGAAATCGAACGCTACGATCGTTACCAACGCGAAACGAAACTAAACTGGTTACCAAAACGTGTATTCGCGTAATAATGTACCTTCTCCTCTAACAGCAATAATAATAGCAGCAGTTACGATGACGGTAGTTTGTGTCAATAGTAATAATGATGGCAATAGCAGCAGTAATAGCAGCAATGATGATAATGATAGTAGTAATAACGATAATAAGAATAATAACGATAATAATAATATATGATGGATGAAAGAATGATGATAAAATAATGACAACAACAATAATAATAATATAAAATAATAATAACAGCGTTCCATAGCACTAGTAGTAGTAATAGTATCATAGATAGTAATAGTAGTAGTTGTAATTATAGTAGTATTAACGATGATGTTCTCGGCAAAAAACGATAACATTTCGCCGACGAAAACGATGATCGTGCATCGATCTCTAAATCTTATTCGTTACGTTCTACGCAGACGTCCGTGATTTCGCAGTCGCGTTGCCTTTCGAGACGATCCTAATAAATTCGATCCCTTAAACGATACAAATATTGTGTGAAATTTCTTAGCCGATACTCGTTAATCTCCCATAACGAGCATTCGTATTAAAAATGCACTCTTTGCCGTTCGTCTCATCGATATATAAAACTTTGTTTTTTTTTTTTCTTTTACTTTTACACCGTTGCAGTAATTCTATATTTTTAATTCACCCTTTCCTTAACCGTTGTTAATATTTATTTGGTCTGTCATACTTGCGACCGCGTTCCGACACGTTTCATCGATTCGGATCTCTGGTTAAAGATCGACCAAAATTCCCAACAGATTAAAAAATTACTTTAGGTCGTGGATCAATGTTCAGGTCGAATGCTCCTCGAAATCGATTTTAAAATCGTCGATCTTGACCCTATTCGATCTAGCTTGCGTAGTTTTTTAGTCTTTCTTTTTATCGTGAGTTCAATGCGTATTCGTTGTTCTCAAAACTGTCCTGGATCTATCACCATACGATCCACATGTAACGTATCCATTTGTTGAAAGGAATCGCGCGCGTCTCGCGTTGCGCAAAATTGATTGTCGGCGATTATTATAGGGAAAGATTTCGTGAGAAAATTTTTTTGATCGACCGTGTGCGCTTCCTGCGTATGCTACACATTCTCTTTGTCCTTTATATTTTATTTTTTTAAACAATCGAACAGGAGTCGACGATTTTTGTTTTCTTCGTTATTTAATTGTAACTCGAAAAAAAAAGATTGCCAACGAATCGTTTTTCACCATTGTTCGCGAGAATGTTTCAATTCGGAGAATTACGTTTGAAAGTTCCTCGATTATTTTAACGGAAATTATTATATTCAGATTTTTTTATCATTTTTATACTCTTACTTACGTTTACTTCTTATGTTTATTTTACTGACACTTTTCGTGATACTTAATCACGTCACTACGGTGTATTGAGTCCCACGACATGCAAACAGTTCTTTTATACATATACAATATTTATTTGAGTATTTAATCAGAACACTTCGAAGTTATTCATTTATTATGTTTTCTGCGTCGTTTGAATAATTATAGTACTCTCTCATTCCGTACAGCTTCGTCACTGGGAAAATAGACTAGGTTTTCACGTAGTAAGTAGACTTACATATATCGGTTTTGTGCGATGCGGAGATCAATGACTCTACTGCCGCGAATGCTCTTTATTTTTTTTTTATTTTTTCTTTATATCGCGTTCTTCATTTTCTTCTATTTTTTTTTTTTTGCGTCGCAATAATCGGTCACGTTCGCGTTTCTGAACGCGATACTTTTACGATACCCGTTTCTTGCGCGTGTTTCCCGATGTATTGTTAACTTTACATTCGTTGTACGATACGAGGAGTGCAACTGCCGCGTGTTCCAAAAGTGTTCTTACGTTTATCGCCCCTTTCGCTTTCGCCTAAATCTCATACGCCTATATTTCACGCAATTTTACGTTTCGTCAAGGTCGCCCTACGAATGAAACAAGTATAATTAGCAAGACGTACATACAGGGCCTTCGACCATCCCTGAGAAAAATTTTCATGGGGGATTCTACTTTTTCTCATTTTACGGGGTTAAGGACCAACTTTTTTAATATTTTTGGAATTTCTACATATTCTTGATTAAAATACGCGTCGTTTGCATTTTCGAAAATTAAAATCGTCCAATCCGTTCAGGAGTTACGATTTTTTAAAGAAACGCGTGAAATTTCAGTGAAACGTATCAACGCCTGGTCAGACATCAGACTTTCGGAATTTTTTTCTCGAAAATGGGTAGGATTTCGTGGGTATGTCACTTCAGCAAAAATAATTGCAATGGACCCCTGCAACTAAAAATAATTTTTTTGGAACGATTTGAAATCTTTTAATTTTGTCGAAAATTTCACACTTTCTCGAATTTTTTTCTCGAAACTGGGTAGGAATTCGGGAGTACGCCTATTGACCAAAAATGATTGTAATTAATCCCCCTAGCTAAAAATAATTTTTTTAAACGATTTGAAATTATTTTATTTTGTGGAAAATTTCACTTTTTCTCGAATTTTTTTCTCAAAACTGTGTAGGAATTCGATGGTATGTCTAATAACCAAAAATGCTTGTATTTGACTATAGTAACTAAAAATATTTTTTTTAGAACGATTTGAAACTTTTAAATTTCGGCGAAAAATTTCAGGGGAATAGATCAACGCCTGATCAGACATTTTCAGTAATGAATTTTTTCCTCAGAAGTGGGTAGGATATCGGGGGTATACCTATTGACAAAAAATGATTGCAAGCGACCCCTGCAACCGACAATAATTTTTTCAGAATGATTTGAAATTTTTTAATCATTCTTTAACAAATTGATATTCTTGATTTTCATCTGATTTTGGCCTTCAGAATCTGCCATTAAAATTTTTCTCAGGCCTGAACGAATACCCTGTACGTATCTCACCGAGTTTAGCCTTTTAATTGCTGCGTTTGAATATAGTACATTTAATTTTTACTTATACGTAATAATATAATCGTTAAAAAGTAACTCGTGAAATTCAGCATGGAAGGTTTTCCTACCATCGATTAATTTAACGGTGGAAAGATTTATAAGATTACTGAGGTAGTGACTTGAGCGAAGAGGAATGGTAGGAATGAGATCAGGCGATTGGACTGTCGCTTAGAATTAGTGGAAGTCGTCTGATATCGTTTAATAGAAACAAGATTATGGAAGGATGACAAGGAGAAGTTTAAAAAAAGATTAATTCGTTTAGAAAGCATCAAATATTAAAGAGTAATAGAGAATGCAGTTGATTTTTCTATAAAGTGGGGTTCGTCCTTGTCATGTTTGGATCATAATCTAGGATAAAAGACTCAGGAGAGTCTATGCACGAAAACCGCGACGTTGATTTTCATCATTTCGAGCTGTTTCAGTGTGATTACGCACTAGACCGTCGAATGTCTGCACGCGCGATCCATTGTTCCGGAGTCGTGGTTGCGAGGGTCGTCTAGTAGCTTCCGTTTCGTCATTCGTTCCACAAACGATCGACAGACTGTGGACCGGTTTGCAGAATTGCCTTTCCAGGGTACAAGCACATACAGAGTCGTGCAAAATTTGGAGCACCCGTCTTTACAGAAGCCTGTTTCATACGCGGCATCGAAACGTGTGTACACGTGAATGAAAGGAAGATTTTCTAGCAGTCGTTTTCCCGTTGATATTTCTTTCAACTTTGAGAAAAAATAACACAGTCGTTGAAAAGACAACTTTCTCAATTTCTGTTACGCTACCTCGACGAAACCTATCATCGCGGACTTGGAAGATCTTTCCTGTCGAATTGTGCTCCGTTCCCACTAATTCGTGTACGCGTGAATTTTCCTGCGGCGAATCGTGCACCTTAAGTCGTTTACCTGTAAAATGGTCGGACACCACTGACTCGAGTTTTCTATTTGGCAGTTATTTAAAGACCGTGTCGTTTCCACGAGAGACCCTTGGTGGCGCGATAATATATTAACGAATTCGATCGTAACGTTTTCGCACACAAAGCGAGTATCAATAAATATTATTATTCATTTATTGTTAATATATGTATGCATCATATCGTTAACGGTAGTATTATCGTTAGTGTTATTAAATCGTTATTATTACTTACCGGTATTATTATTATATTACCTATTAATTATTACGATTATTATCGTTACTATTATTATTATTGTTATTGTTATTATTATTACTATTATTGTTGTTGTCCTTCTTCATTTAGTTGTTCGTGTTGTTACTATTATTATTGAAAGGCCGCGACAACGCTCTCTCTCTCTCTCTCTCTCTCTCTCTTTCACACACACACACACGCACACGCACACTCTCTCACGCTCTCTCACACTCGAGGAATTGTACAACGACGCGTCTCGAGTATCTCCTGTTCCCGGAACACGCGTTTCAAAGAAGGTCGATCTTACCTAACTTGGGAGAGAAAGTGACAGCGGTCGATCGAAAGAAGGTAGCCGAAGAAAGTAAACGCACAACGTGGCCGTGTATTGTCAACAATATATGCCGAGGCGACTCTCTGTCCACCCCTGTCGCGATATGCTCGTTTACTTTATTACTTCCTCTCTTAATTAGCCGTTCGTTAGCCCGAGGAACGCGCGCTGCTCACGTGCCCGTAGCGTAACTTAATCGAGACGAATCGAATTCCTCTTCTCGGCTCTTTATCTTCCTTCTTCGTGGACTCCGGTTGGTTCTTCCACGGCGGTGTCCCTCGCTCTCGAGCACGCTCCACACTCTGTCTCTCGCGTCCGATTTCCCCATTTCCGGGTTTCCCTCCCGAGATAGAAACGGCAGAACCGAAGGACAACAGAGACACAGCCGGCCAGGAGCGAGAAGAAAGGAAATATAAAGCAACGAATCCGTTTCTCGTTCGCGGTTCGTTACTTGGTCGCACCGTAGCAGCCCTCCTCGAACACCCACGTGTCCGTTGTTTCTGTAAAAGGGAACAATATTCTAGAAACATCTCTTTTCGGTAACATTTTCAAATCTCCCTGTAAATATTCGAAAATCCCATTTTGCATGCCCCGACAAATGGCATTGTCCGCCGTTCCGTGGAAAATTGTACATCGCTCGCAGGAAATTATCGACGTGACAACGAACGGACTAAGTTCGTTATGTAAAATAAATTAACGTTCTCGTACTGTATTAATTTTGCTTTCTGCGTGTCTCTCGTGCCGCGTAAAGTGTGATGTTACGCGATACTCGAATGGAACAACACTGCCATGCACGTTGACATCATTATTAGGAATTTACGCGTCAATTTTCGTGTAAAACCGGCAGACAGTCCGTGGTCCACTCGTGCGTCGATATTTCTACGCGATTATAATTACACAGAATCGATTGATAAAAATCGAAAAAGAAAATTTGAGAATTCACACGCCTAGCGTGGTGTTTTAATTAAAAATGTTAATTAAAGGGACGTTACCTTTGGCATTTTTTGTGCATTGTTTCGGTGACTTGACCGGGGCAGTCTATTTACTGGACGATTATGTGTGGCGCACGACACAAAATGGCTATCGTAGCCAAAACCGTGAATATCGTGAAGGTGTATAAGCAGAGCCTGGAATAAAAAAGCAAACGAGAAAATATCTATTAATAACGAGACGTCTATCGATCGAATAAAGTTTTCTCCGTCTCTGCATGCTCGAAACGAATTGAAATGTTTTATGCAAAGGACGTGACAAAATATCCAATTGCGAAAACTGTAATTAGAGGAAATTCATTGTTATCTGATATGATTATTAAATTCATAATGCACAACAGTATCATTAAAAAGGATTACAGACAGATATAGATAACGGGATACAAGCAACTGCGAATGAAAATTGCACGGATACGTCGAATAATTTATTTTACAATTTTCCGACTAAATCGAGTTATTAATGCAAGTTATATTTCATGGAGAGGGAAGATAATCGACCGTGTCTCATAAATAGGAAGTGAGTTTCTGCTTCATTCCGATAAAAGATCCCATTATGAATTCAAACTATCAAGTTTATGTTTCGCTGTCTCCTGCGAAAATTAGGAAAATTAGGAAAGTTTTATCGGGAGATCAACGTGAGCGGAAGCTAATTTTTTAAATGTCTTTCAACGAGAAGTTTTAGAAATGTGTCCAACCTGTCCACCACCATGGCGGCGAATTTCCAATCGCTAATGACTCCGTCATTTTCGTCCGCCTTTTTCATACGATTCGTAACGAATCGCAATTCCTTAAGAATCGTGTGCAGCTCCTCTTGCATCCCGCTGAGGAGCAACGACGCTGACGTGTTCTCCACCGTCGCTGGTCTTCCGGTGGATATCGGTGTGCCAAACGTCGACCTACTGTTCAACAATTTAACAGAAACATATTATTTCTTGAAAGGAATCTTTACGATGTCTATTACCTAGATTCTTACGAATTAATCAGGGCACAGAATCGTCACTGAGCGCGTTAACGATCGATCTCTAGATGCATCGCTGCCCTTAGTGCAAATCAATATCCTAGCAGCTAGTTTGACTTTGATGTCGTGAATATTGAATCTCGCACTGAAGACGATGCAACGTCAGATACGAAATTACAACCATCTTTTATGTTTTAATGCTAAATAATTTTAAGAACCACTTGCTCGTTATCGGTAAAGTTCAGGGCAGTGTTAAAATCTAAACATGTTTGGCGAAACGTGAAAACCATGCTGATTTCTTTGACATTCGGGGACCTAGTTTATTAGGAGTTTGTCCGAGGGAGCCCAAACAGTTAACCAGCAGTTTTGCGAGCAAGTTCGGAGAAAACAGCCTTAAGTTTTCCAAAGTATCTCCATCCGAGGGAATTACTATAACTTTCGACTTTAAACTTATTATCTGTAAAACATCGTGATCCACTCGTGCTGTATCTTGCTCTCAAAATGCACGATCCTTTTTGCAGATACTTGAAAACCCTATTAGCTGTGCATGTTCTAAACTGCTCGGAATAGAACACTGCGCCAGAGTACATCGAAAATTACTTCCCCTCGCATATCCGTGAACCACCAATGGGAAAATAATATTAGCCCTAAACGAGGACACTACCTAAGTGTACGAGTAACAATGTAAAGGTTGCAATTTATCTTCGCCGTTATCGAAATTTGAAATTTTATATTTTCAATAAACAAATAAATATCCGTGAAATTAATAGGTGCGATATACATCAAACGATGGTTGTTTTATCATCGATAACCAGGATAATCACATTATCGAGCCAAGACCTGCAACGGACGTTGATTATAAATTCAGCACGCCTGTTAGATTATTTTTCATCCCATTATTCCCAACATAATGTCTGGATGTCGGAATATAGATTTCACCAGTTCGTTTAAATTTTCAGTCTGTTGGCCATCGGTGAGATATCTATTTTCTCTTTTCCTTTGGTGCCTGTCCGTGATATCTTGCCGATATCGAACGCCAGTTGAGAAATTTCTGATCAAATAATTTTGTGTGCTCGATGTCTCGCTGACAGGAAAGGTCCGAGGGAAGTTATTTTCGAAACAGTCCGTCCAAATGAATAATATAGTTCGTTAAAAACAGTTTTACTTTTAGACTTATATCGAGTAAATGTTTTTAAAAAAAATACAGGTAGGAGGGGACCTTTGAGAAAGTATGTGCGTTACCTGTTACATCCGGAAGGAAGTGTTCCTGCGCTGTTTCTGTGACGAAAGTCATCGTCGAGGTTTAGAACGTTCGCTAGCAAACTCATGCTAGGTTTTTCCTGCGGCTTTTTATCCTTTGTCTGGTCGCCTGTAAGACTATTTTTCTTCGCGTGCTTCTTTCCCGGACGATTCATGCGTAGCATACATGCCAGCCATCGTAGAAACAGTGTTTTTACCTGTGTGCAACGCACAAGAAACATTAAATAAGAACGCAGAAAGAAAAAGACCAAATCGTGTCAACGGGCTGTCTAATGTTCTGTAACTTTGTGATAGAAACTTTTAATTCGAGGAACACCCCGTGAGTTGCGCGAGGAATTTCATTTCTTCTAGCCACGGATAAGAAAGAACATTCGTTACTCGCGGGACGAGCTGACATTACTAAATTACTAATGTTTACAGCTCGTGTTTCGAAATTTAATTCCTTCCGGTGCAACTTATTCAACAGCGTGCACCCGAGCGCGATTTCTTCTCGCAGTTTTGCATAAAGTTGGATCACTTCGGGGCTCACTTTCATCCGAACGTAATAGCAAGGGAAACTACCACCGGGGAATTTTTGCGTAGCTGTAGGATTCTTGTCCCTACTTCAAGTACGTTTCTCCTCGGTTTATGAAACTTCTTGTAATCAACGGTCAAGAAGAAGTGCTAACGCCTCGAAGGCGCTTTAAACTTTCAACAACTACTGTCTTTAACGGTTCTAATGGCTACTGCGGATACGGCTGTAGTTTTAAACTGCTCTCACGAACCAAAACGAGAGGGGCGTTCCATCGTGCGTATCATTTTTAACATTATTCAACAAACAAATTGCATCCAAGTCAGTTCTTTTAAATTTTTCGTTAAGAATTTCAAGCATTATCAGCTTTACATCCCGTTGTCTCTTAATTAACATGAATAAAATAGGGAATCGAATCGTTTTATATGTTTCGAACTCCTCGCGGATTAATAAAATCAGCAGCGTAATAAAACACGAAAGATAATTAAAAGTTGTTCGAGGAGAAGAAACTAAAGTTTTAATGGAAAGGTAATGAAGGCAAACGAAGTAAGAGAAACGAGCAACCTATATATGATTAAGTATAATATCAAAGGTACATATAAAATTTGATTCAATTTTAAAATAAAAATTGAAACTAATGCGCGTTATCGAGCGTTAATATTTGCTTAATTCTAATAGAAATGTTCTCGTTTACATTTGTCGTTTCATAAATATGTACCTGTATTTATAAAGAACGTATTTGACGTATTAATATTGAACAAAGAGTATCAATTTTGATTAATTCGATTCGATTATACGTTACATAACGTTCATAAATAATAACGAGCGATAACATATTCTGTTTATCGATAAATATTACGAATGCGGACACGTGTAATGTAATTCACTGTAATTTTATTTCGTAATGAAAGAAATTTTGGATTAGATTAATGTTTAACTCACCCACTGTGGCATCACGTATCTGTCGGGCGATCTGTGATGAAAGTTGAGCACCAACACCGTAAAAACGACGCTGCTCGCCACCATGAACATGATGCAATTGAAGTACGTCCCTGAATTCGGGGTGTTCCCGAAGATACCCCGAAGAAAAAAACACAGAAAGAAGGCGATTAGTCACGGTAATGGATCGTCGATCCACTCAATTAGTCGCCCAAGAATGAAAGACTGCAAGGTGTTAGGGAGACTCTAATCTCGAACTCTACCATTTTCAATCATTGCAAGACTTTATTTTATCCATCTTGTCCCTGGGTAATCTTTCATTCGGTCCTGCGACTAATCACATTCGCTTCCCCATGTACACCGACAAATTGCGTAAACGAGAGCAAAGTATGCAACAGTTAGACTCGTTACGATTACTTTTGCTCGTCGATTTATTCCCGTCGATTCTTTGTGGGATCGTTCCTCGTTATGTAGCAAAGGGGCACACAGACGAGGGAATAAAGATAGAAAGAAATTAGGCGAAGAACGAAAGAAAGCCGCACGCTTGACTACGGTCAGGTGAAAAGAACCGAGTAACAGACACTAAAGCGTACTTACGTGGGCGCTAATACGCCGCGAAAACAAATGCTTTTTATTCTTTATACTTCGAACTTAATCGTCACCCTGGCCAGACTCTCGAGAGAACTTGTTACTTGTTGATTTTCTTATTTTTCAAATTTTTTTCAACGTGTCGTTAAATGATCAGTGTGAAACTCTGTGTCCATGAAAATATTGGCGATTTTAAGGTAACTTTCGATTCGATGAAACAAGTGAGTACTTTAGTTCGGTAAATTCGAGTCCACTTTATGGAGAAGAATCTGTTGTCGATCGATATTCACCGCGTATTAGATATTTCCAGTGCAAGCACTCCCTGCGCTTGTAGGAGGTGTTAAGGAGCACTTTAATAACGAGTCCTCTCGAATTGTCCGCGGCGATGTGCATCGCTGACCCGGCCGGTGCCTTGTAGAGGAAACATCTAACAGATTGGCATGCAGCTACGGAATGCAATTACTACGAGGATGCACGAGTAGCCTGCGTGTTAAAGCACGAATATTGTTACAGTATCTACCGCCGCATGCAATTCAACCAACAACTAAGCATTCACGTAAAGGTCCAAGCTGCACGTAGTCCAATAATTACGCAAAATTATCATTCATTTCTCTCCTCGAGCGAAGCTGAATATGCTGGTGCTGGTATGCGACAGACTTACTGAGAGATGTTTACTGTGTCTTCGGCGTTGGGCGTTTTCTAATCGATTAGCCACGGTTTTCTAATTAACGCTCCAACGTGAGCTCACAGAAAATTATATGTAATTGATTAGTTTTGTTATCTTACGGAATGTGTGCGCGATAGTTTCTTTACAGAGACATTGGGATATCCCTGTAGGTTCAGTTATGGTTTTGGGTCAGAGTATTAATTAATTGTCGAATCTGTAAATAATCAGAAAGTATATTCCTAAACGTGTTAAATTTTAGACGAAAGTATAATTAACACGTTCACTGTATAATTAAACTAAAAAGATACGTGTATGATAATATCGTTAAAAAAGGAAGATGGAATATTTATTTCCGTGAATATCTCATTATCTTTCCGCGCGTTCGAATTCACGCTTACGAACGCATACCGTGAACGTGTTAATAAACCATTTTCCCACCATCTACGTTTCAGATCACGTTTTGCGTTCAGTTATTCGCTTCTATTCTGTTAAAATGATTATTCCCCGAGTTTTCTTCCTCGTTGCATTCAACCCCCCCTCCCCTGATCGATCGGAAATTCTTGATAATGCAAATCCATTGTTGCGGCCGGCTATCGGATCAGGATTTTTCCGGAAATCGGGCGAAGCAGCGACCGCGGATCAATACGGCAATGCGATTGAAAATATTAAAAATAAAAAAGTGAAATGGTAATCTCGGCGGTGGCAGCGCGAGTCAACCGTCCAACGACTCGATTTTATTACCGGAACCATACTTTTTATTCGTTTGTTACGCACGAGGTATCAAGACCATCGTCTTTGAGAGTCGAGAACCCCGAAGAAACGATGGTTTTTAATTCTAGATCCGAAACGGAGGATCTAGATACTCCTGGATGGTTCGTTGAAAAATGGTGGAAGCGCGAGTCATCGAGATCCTCCGTTTGAGATCAGCTACAGGTCTTTCAAAGCATCGCTGGTACGCTCGATAGCAAAAAGCCAACGCGAACGCTCGAAAAAGGTACCTTTTAAACTTCGGATTATCTTCGCTGTTATCTTTTAACGGGTCCACAAAGGCCGGCATAAGCGTCACTGACGTGATTAATTGTTCCGTACGAAACTCTCTTTTGCTTTTCTCTTCGTTAATGAATCTTAAAGCGAACGTCGGAGCTATGTATTTTCAGAGTTAGAAGTTTTGCTCCCCTTATTAACGGCGGACTGTTCTCTCTGTTCTAGTTATGAATTTTTAAGGATTGTTTTAAAAACGGAATCTGATATTGACACAAGTTTAACGTGAACGTAAAGCACACGGAAAATGATACGTTCCCAATCAGATAAAGAACATGGTAAACGCGCGAGCGTGGTATACGCCGAGCAAGAATGTTTATTACGCTCGTACGTGGGCAAACAGGTACCAACGGTTTACACAGCGAACGCAAATTGAGAGGAACACGGTATATACGCGAAAAACGTGTTTTGCAGGACTTCATTAATATGTGTGCCGTTCCACAGACACTGATTGAACACTGAATTCCGTGGCCGAACTCTGCGATCGAGGATTTACAAGATCGCTAAATGAGAACGTCTAAAAAAGCAGTAATTAAGTATACGTAGATCTAGAAAAATTCTGTTTCGTATAATCGAGAAGATAGAATGAAACGTTGGATGATGATAATTTAGGAACGGAAGGGTTAATTTCGCGATGCAGTAATCGCGGAAAAAGCAATGCAATTGACGTGCTCGTAAAATCTCGAGCACGTCGATCGTAAACGATTGACATCGCCGGGAGTAGTTTAGATCCATACGCGGTATAAACGAGCTACCAATCAGGCCGCGAACGAATTTCCGGTTCATCGGTTGCCGACGATTTCTCGTTTCGAATCGCAACGAAGTTAGATGAATGCGCAGTGATAGTATGAATGAAACCACGATGACATATGTACGGACCGCATCGTTCTGTTGCAAGGTTTAGGTAACAACGCGCGTTTAATTACCAGTTAACTACCAGTATTTGCGTCACCTTTAAATAAACACGGAATTCGCAACCCTCGTGCAACGTTCGATGCAACGATACAAATTTTCATATTTCACGCATTGAAAAATTGCGTTACGTAAGCTGAGAATAATAATTGAATAATCATTACTCTGGTCTTCTTAATATCGAGTCCAACTCATATGACCCGTTATCAGAATATAATACTTGCAACGCGGTCGTGAAACATTTATTACTTTCCATCGTACAGGTACATGTAAAATCGCTTTCGGTTGTTATGCGTTCGACAGCTGTGAACTCTCCCCTTTTGCATTTCTGCGATGCTGGATTCGTTTCGCCAGAGCTGTGGTTATGTATTTTAAGCGATTCATGATTTATCAGTTCGAAACCGTACGACAGAAAACATGTTACAACCTTCCATATAATTAGAATAGATAAAAATTTCTTTTGGTGCATTTTCTTAAAGGATACAGCCTTAGAAATATATGTGCAAAGGCGTATCATCGAACTCCTACAATTAACGAAGTTATACGTATCGTTCAATCGAGCTATATCTGTTTGAAACGCGTATTAAAAATACTAAAACTTTAGACGCGTGTAGTTCCGAAACTACTAGGGCTTTATTCAAAATTCCAGTACTGTTAGAGGCGGTAAACCTTCCCCTTTGAAATTGGTTTTTGGTTTTTGTCGATCCTACTTTCCGTTTTCGAGATATCGTAATTTATATAAAAGCGTAATTATTCATTTTTCACTATCTCTCGCGGTCCGCCTTACGAAAGCCTGTAGCAACGCGCATTAAAAATACTAAAACTTTGGACACGCATAATTCCAAAACTACCCACGCTTTATCCAAAATTCAACCGCCATTGGTAGTGGTAAACCTTCCTCTTTAAAATTGCTTTTGGTTTTTGTCGATCGGACTTTTCGTTTTCGAGATATCGTAATTTATGTAAAGGGGTAATTTTTTCCAATTTGACTATCTCTGTCTTTGTCTGGCGCGTCGCGCTGGACCTCTCTCTCTCGCACGTGTCTCGTGACCGAGCGACCGAGTGACCTAGTTTACTACGAGTCACGTGCGGTCAACGACCTTGACAAGGCCGTAGTAAGAAAGTTCATTGATCTCGCGGATGTAAACAAAGGGCTTCGGTCTCATCCGATCGACTTGAAATTAAAATTCTCATATCTCCGGAACTAATTGAGCTATCCACCCTCACGAGCGCTCATTTTAAAGGGCATTTAACCCTCTATCCGATGAATATACCACCTACTATAATTTATGTTTCCTTCTATGTTTATTTTAACATTTTCTTTAACAATATACACACAAAAAAGTTTCAGCAATTCCTATCGATTATACGACCGGTGTGCAATATAACTAGATTATAAATTGTTTATTGAATTGATAATGAATTTAAATTTGTATACAGTTGCCTCGTAAAAGAGAAAAAGAAAGATCAGTCTCCACCAAAATATTTCAATTTATTTTATTCTGTTACGGAATTGCGGCTTTGAACTCGATCGTCTAGATAACGCCGTTAGGAGGTATTTGCTTAAACCTGCTCCCTCAGGTTCATTAGGCAAATGACTCCATCATATAGGAGTCAATCGACATACGCTAATAGCGTCTAAGGCTGAGTTTGCTGTATCAAGCTTACCGATGAGCGTATCAGTAATCTAGTGTAAAACGTATGCATGTTCCTGATGAAAGTAATTCGTTTTACATTAGACACACTATGCAATCGATGCCCAGAGACTGAAAAAATTGATGTTACTAAATTCTTAAAATCTGAATTACCGTATGATCTTTTGCCAGTAGCAGACTCTGAACGATCCAAGTATCGAAGATTTCCATTCGAACGATCGTGATAGCCTTCCACGGACTTACGGTCCAG